AACATCGGAATAACTGAAAACATTTGCTAAAACTAGGTAGATCCTCTGTGACAATTCAGAGGACAAAAGCCTCAAGTTTTACTGTGTCTGTGCTTCATCTGGAAAAAAAATGAACTTAAAGCGAAGCATACTTTGAAGAAAATTTTCAGTGATAAAATTAATACTGAAATGATTTGTGTAGTATTAGCTGTGTGAAGTTAGAGTGCAAACAATTGCGGACTAGGTTGGTGCAATAATGCTCTCTTTGTAGTAGAAGCGGGGCTCAACGCAGACCACAAAATATGAGTGAGGATAAGCGTATTACAATTTCGGCGAATCCTAGGAGGAAAATTTTGAGAGATTGGTGCTGTCATAAATTCTTAGGGAAAGAAAAGTCGTTAAAAAAATTGTTTAAAACAAAAATTTCAAAGCCTTTCCGTTTGCTGCTCTTAAAACTCAAATTTGTTAAATAATAAGTGATAAATTAGGTTTTCTCCTGATAAAAAAAGGGGAAAAGGCACTTAAGGTACGTTTGAAATTTTCAGTGCAGCAGAAAAATTTGATCAAAATTTTAATTATTAATGCTATTTAAGAGTATATAACAGGATTTTAAGATGGATTGTGTCAGCAGCCTATGATAGTATCAGCTTTAACTTGGCTGAGCAGGGCTCTACTTGTTACTTGGCGGACACAAAGACGTCAGGACAGTTATAAAGATGAGCCCGAAAAACATTAAGCGATATGAAATGTAGATATGACTTAATGTTAGAAGGGCAACTTATTGGCTATAAAATGAAGAAAAAGCTTGCTATCGATTCTAAAGGACACTATAGAATTTCCTGAATTCAATTGTTCAGCCTAACTTGAATAAAAATTGCTCCACTCCACTAGCAATTTCATCTTTAAATAGGGACACTTTTCCCTTTGACAGTCGAGAATCATAGTTTTTCCTATGATGATATGATTGCCTTCCTCTAATTTTTTAGACTGAATTTACTTGTTTCCAAATGTTCATAAGCACGATCTTATATGTTATATTTGATAGCAAATTAACTGGCAACATCAAACTCTCCAAAAACCTCCTCCTCGGATAAGCTATAACCACACTCCGAAGTTAAACATTTGTGCAATACCAAAGGGCGAATAAATTCTTCATCTGAACTTGAGGTGACTTGGTTTTATTGGCAGCTGAGTGAATAGAACTGCGACTTCCTTGCGAAATAAAATCAGTCCAACGGAAACTATTTTATCGAGGAGTCGAGACGGCCTTCCATGTAGGAGCGAGCACCGAAAATGACAAGACATAGCATACACAGACAAGAAACTGCACTTATCATAACATTCAGGATCGAAACATTTTCAAGTCGCCGCGGGGGAAATAGTATGTCGGAATTTAGATCAGTTTCAGCACTTAACCGCAGAAGCCAGTCAAAAAACAGTCCATCAACATCTCGATTCAAAAAGCCAAATATTACCATGGAAAATTGTGTGGGAAAAATACACAAGGACGGAAGGTACACTGGTAAACACAGCTGTACTGAAAATAAAAAAAATTGAATAACCACTTCCTATTACCACTTTATCGCAGTAAACTGTAACTCACAAGTCTAAGTCGCGTCCAGAGAATTTCAGAGCCTGATTGATCGACATGAAGAATAAAGGAAAACATTCCTTCAGACACAAAAACAACGGTTTTACAGGCAACGTTGCCAGGTAAATACAAGAACTGAATAGGCACAATTATTAGCATGATTTTGCATGATCTAGAGAGAACAGATCAACAAAGAAACTAAGAAAAAAACACGTTGCTTCATGGGCAAAGATTCTAACTTTCTACACAGTTTATTCCAATGAAGAGAAGCAAGCTACTTTCAATCCATGAAGTTCTGAATGATTTCCCTTACTTCATATATCAGAATAGTCATTCATGAATTTTCATCGAAAACTTCAGGTAAATTAAAAAAGATACGAGAGCAGGTATTTTGAAATGCTAAGATTGAAACATGTGTTTCTTTCTGGGTTTCATCATTGATATTCCCTCTGAAACTTACAGAGGTCCAAGAAATACTGGACTCCGATACCAACTCATGATTCTGGCACGCCTGGCAACGCTGTTGATGAAAGTCAACTCATCGTCAGAGTCATCTGCTATCGCCGTGAAATAATACTGCTGTTAACAGACTAGAGAGCTAAGGTTTGGCTATTGTTGAGGCATTTGCACAGCAATAAATCTGTAGCGTATAAGAAATACAGCAAACTCAGACGGTGAGAATTGTGAAATCACTCGAAAATTGAGTCCAGCACATCATATAAGCCTATAATCCATTCCTTGAAACAAAATTTGCGATTTCCGCATCTTTAATTTTCAAATTACTTGCGGACAACAGCACTTATTTATGATGGTTGGATAGCCGATATAATCTCTCATATGATTACTATCATTTGAACATTAATATTAAGTCATTATTAAACCATTTCAAGGGTTTAAAACCATTAAGATCCTGGGTGAGAAGAACTGATAACAGTTTGCAAGGTTGTTTGATTAGGTTAGGTTCGGTTCGATTCCCTTGCATGTCTCATCAACTAACCTAGTCACTGGCAATTAAAAACTCTCTAGTCAGGAAAGATGTCAAAATGTGTAATACAGACTTGGCAAATTCTGCTTGCAGGAGTGGATTTAAGACATTCCTTAAGTGTGTAAAGTAATTTTTATACAATATTGTCCCTCAGTTTTTCCGTTTGCTGTATTCCTTGTATGCAATAGACCCATTGATATTAGTGCATATCAACTTAGAACGGTGCGTATAGCAGACAATTCTTCGTTGTGTCGACAATTGTAGTATCGATTGACCAGTCAGTTATAAAAAAGTTGAGTCAAATTGAACATTTTCGTGTGAGAGAGGAGACTGCTGCAGGAGTCTAAGTTCAGACGATTTAAAAAAAAAAAAAAAAATCATGACTGAGAGAACACTTTTGGAAGTATTTTGACAAACAGGCAGTAAATATGAGCTTAAAACTCTAGAAAATGCTAAGATAAACACAAATTGTTATAAGAACTTAACAACTGAAATGATTCAAAGATGTAGGATAGTTAGATAAGCTATCCTGTTAAAACTATTCAGCATTTCACGATTGGATGTATTTAGCCAGAACAACCTAACTGCATTTGGACTGCATTTTGCAATTTGGAACTATAAATTTTAGCTCTCCTGGAAAAACACTTACGAGCATAAAAAAACTAATGGCACATACGATGTTTTTGAACCGTGCTAGAATTTATAGTTTTTAATTGCAAAATGCAGTCCATTAGACATTGCTCACTTTTCTTTAAAGTTTCATTTTTTTAAATAGAGCTCTAAACTACTTCACTCCTTGGAACTTTCTACGAATTTATCCTGGATTATATATAAGGAAAATGCTCACAAAATTTTAAGTTTCAGTGTTGCTTGGTTTTTACTTTAAAGAATAAAACTTGAGAGGGATTAGACAATGTTTGATAGTAGATACATTCATTTCAGTCAAATCTGTCATTTGACCATGACAATTTTCTGATTAATTAATGAGAAAAAATGGACCCCTGTAGCAGCCTCAATTGAAAAAAGAAAAAAAATAAATGAATAAAAATAAGGTGATGAAAATAGAATCCAACGTTCAAACAAAATAAAAAAATAAACTAGTCTAGTCTAGAATCAAAGTCAGTCTACAGGAATTTATCGTTTTCAGAGTCGTAGGTAGATTAGCTGTCGATTGATTTCCGAAAAGCCAAAAACACGACCACTGTCATCTTGGAAAGAGGGGAGAAAAAGAACTGGAAACCATCAGAAACTGCCAACCAGGAAATAAAGCACACTTCACCGGATTAACCTGAGTACTGCGCCTTATTTACAACAACCAGCGATCGCAAGTGGCTCAAATAAATGCAACAGACCTCGTCGAAAGAGAGCACCCTCTTTTACAAAGGAAACACTTTGTTCAAAAGTAGGTTAAATTAACTTTAATTAGAATATTCATTAAAAGAGGAGTTCTTCCACTAAAATTTGAATAGTTTATTCCTATCACTGGGTAATCTTTGTAATTTTTTTTTTTAAAAAAAAAACAAAAAAAAAACAATCAAGTTTCAGTAGTGTTTAAATGTTTCAGTCAAAACCTTCATTTTGGGGTGTTCAATAACATCTCTTTGTCTCCATAAAGAGGGTTTACGATTTGTTTAGATGAAAATGAAAAGGAACAATGTTTGAATCAATTTTACAGTCTTGCATGTCCCTTCCCTTCTTTTCTTTAAAAAGAATGAATCGTTCCTTCCTCTCTTCCTAATAATGAGTATCTCCTTTTTTCTAAAATACAAGCTTAAAAAATAAATATGTGCAAATATTTTTAGGGTACCTATTTTAATAAAAACACAGGAGTTTAAAATTACTGTGCAAGCATTCCAAAGAAATTGATATCCAATTTGTTAAAAGAGTTTAAAAAAGGTATTTTGGTAGACTTGGCTTTAATTTTTTCCCTATTGAAAAGCGAAGAAGAGTAAATTGAAGAGACAAAGGAAAAAAAGGATGGAGAAGAGAAGAAGGGGAGAAAGAGAAAAATTAAAAGGAAAAATTTGAGTTAAAGTTTTCATGATTAATAAGTAAACAAGTTTAAATGAGGAATGAAAATGATATTGAGAGGAGTAAATTTTTTTTCCTATTACAGAGTGTTCCATTATCAAGATGCTCTCTTTGACTTAAAATTCCACCAACTGCTCAACAGAACCACTTTCTTTCCACAAAACAAACAGATCGCTGTTCCAATTGACTGATCAGCAGAAAGAACGACAGAACGAGCGAAGGAATCGACCGCACAAAGAAATGACTCAGCAGAAACCGCGACAGCTTCCCGATCTGCACGGCATTCGAAATTCCCGCAGACTCAAAAGTCACCTGATGAACACAACATACCCCATAAAACCAACTCAGCAACTGTTCAGACAAAGATTCCGTTCGGGCCCGTTTCCGTTCCGAGTGCAATTCCTTTATGCTCACCTCGGCAGGGCCGTTTGGCTGCGCGTCCTGAGAATTGGCATTGGCCTCCGGAGGCTGTTGTTGTTCCTGCGTTGTTTCTTGCGCAGGTTGCTCTTTCTCCTTGTGTTCCTCTTCGTTGACTTCGACGTCCATCGGCTCAGCGCTACCTTTGATCTGCTCGATCAGGGACGCAGAGGAAACAGAGACAATCCCGTGAATGTTGATGCGGATTTTTAGCTTCACCTTCTGTGTCCCGCCTTGCGCTGTTGGCTTGATGTTCTTGATGCAGTATTCGCCTGTGACATGGATGCAATGTTAGAAAGAGATGCTAAGAAAGAAAAAAAAAACTGGCTCCAAGTACCCTGACCAATTGACTCTCAAGTTCGAACTTGGAAAAAATGTAAATTTATTTTTTGAACATGCCGGTCAGAAAACTTTAGTTGTCCTTTCCTCTGTGCAACTGATGTAAAATTTATGTTGCAATAAAAATATTGACATCACAAATTTGGTTAAATTCTAAAAGTTACTCATAATAATGCTAAACATAAAATTAACTGCAAAATACAAACAGTTATGTACAACAGGTGGTTTCCTAACTCCATTATTTAAACAGTTTTTTAGGAGTTTTCTCCTTGAAATTTACGAGTTCATCAATTTTTTTCCAACAGCCAATTTGAAGCCATTTGTCTTGATGTAGGACTCTGATGTAGGAAAATGCTGCAGCTTTACGTTCACAATATTTTACTTTTGCCCAAATTCATAAGGCATAATTAAGGCACAATTCTGAAAAATTCAAATTTTTTACTATTTTACTTTCATCCGAATGCGCTCAACTCATGAATTTGCGATGCATTAATTTTGTAATTAATTTTAGAGAAAACTGCTCCTGAACAATGTTACAATTCAAGTTTTGAAAGTCAAATTCAAGTGTCGAATGACAAGTATTACTCACCGATTCTTGGATCAGGATATGGAACACTGTTGGGAGGATAGAACGCCTTGAGGTTGAACGATTCTTTCTTGTACAGAGTAAGGACTTTAGAGAATGGAGCCGCATGATTCTTGCTAAACACTTCCATTTCCCTGGAAAAACAAATTACACGATGAGAAAGAAGCAGACATGAAACCTAAAACTCACAGAGGATTTAAAAGTTGCAAGTATGCATCACAGAGCATAAAATATTATTCCACTAAGTTTAACCCATTGACTGAAAGCGACCAGTCCCACTCGTCCTGAGACTTGGCAACATTATTTGCGTTGTTTTGGGTGTCTCCCAATAGAGAGCGCCACATATATCGACTCATGTGAACACAATGACTAGAGTACCTGTATTAGGGAGAGTAGCGACAGATCGGTTCATGGAGGGCTTAGGGCCCAAAAGTGCAGCCACCCTTCTGAGCAACTTCTAACACACAAAATTTCACTGCCAGCCTACAGATTTCAATTCTAACCAAGATGGCTAAGAATGTACATAAATGAGCGTTCTTTCGCAAAAATAAGTAAATTTATGCAAAAAGTAAACCAAATACATGCTTTCTAAACGACGGTTCGTAACAATTGTACTTGTAAATCGCTCTGGACATTCGAAATTCATAGGTTGGCTGCCCTTTTGGGCCCTAACTTTATACACGGAGGCATCGGTGAAGGCCTGATGGACTTTCGGAGTTTCAGATCTGTCGCTACTCTCCCTATACAGGTACTCTAACAATGACAAAACGTTCCAATATTTTTCCCATCTGATCCATTACTTCCCCGATTATACGATAATTCTCAAGTTTAGAAAATAACCCTCACTTTTATTTTTGCTTGAAATTTTCTAGTTTTTCTTTGAGTTTACGCTTTCTATTTTATTTGTCTTGCTCTGGTTGTAGTATTATTTTTTGCACTCTATCTTATAATATAAGTAATCTGCGTTTCCTCTTTGGTTTGCAAACCCTCTTCTCTTGTTCCATGCTGTTTTTTGTCAAAAATACATGATTTTCCCTAATTTTCCACTTTTTTTTTGTTTTCAATTTTTCCTCACGGATTTCAACAACACAGATGCATAAAAATGGAAGTCATATTCATCAACCAGGCAATTTTTCTCTCTTTGTAGTCTACTAATAAGGAACCAATTAAATTTTTTTGAGTTAGTGGCTCTACAAGCCCCAAAAATCTGATTTTATTGGGTAAAGGTGAAATTAGCAAATCAGGGCCAAAATTAATTTATTAGTCAATGGGTAAAAGTGTTTCGAGCTAAAATGTTTCAACAAGTATATCCCTGGAAGCCCATTGCAGATGATCTTTTGAGTAGAATGCTGTAGACGGATTCAGTGACTACGTCTAAATGACTTATGGCTTCCCTTAAAGAGCACCATCTTCCACTAATTTGTCGAAAATCAAAGTAATGATCTTTCCCCTGCCCCCTTTTTTTTCTTTTTAAACATCCATAATTTTACAACAAACACAGAACTAGCCTTTACACTTTCAAAACCCCTTCTCAAGACCTTTTTACTTCATCACACGATCACAAAATAATATCAAATATTTTCAAATATCATCTGCAGGCTGATTGTTGAGATCGGCAGACAAAGCAATAGACAAAAAAGATATGGAGGGATCCTACCGCGGAAAGCGGGTGGTTGCAATGGACACAGGAGGTAGGTAAGAGATTAACAAGAAGCGACCCTCAGTTAGTTCATCATTTCATTCATTTTTTCCTTTTATCTGTAAGAACCACCTATTTCAAGCGATAAGGTCATTCCATACTCATTATGTCTTCTTTTTCTATGGCTTTGCTTACCAATTTCAAGAATCAGTCAAAGAGCAAGACTCACCCTTGATCCTGGGCGTCATGTCCATCCCAGTTAATATGTACAGGATACATTTGGATGTCAGTGACTGCAAAGTCCCGAACGCGAACAGCCGGAGAGAGCATGGCGCACTGGAGGGCACAGCCTCGTGCGACGGCTTCATCTTGGTTCAGCGTTGTTGAGGCAGGCTTGTTGAATACCACTTCGATGAGCTGCTTGATCGCCGGCACTCGACTTGACCCGCCAACGATTTCCACAGCATGAATATCTTCTAATTTTAGTTCTGGAAAATAAAACATATTATTTTAGGTTATGCGGTTCCCATAATTTCCTGACTTTTTACTCATTTTCCAATTCTTTGCCTTTTCCTGACTATCAAATGAAATGTCCACCCTTTCATTTCCCAGTCTCTCTCTCTTCTAAATACGCTGACCTCCACTAAACTTTGGACAAAATGTCATTGTTAGGATGTGGAATTATGGAAAAAAGCATTCAGTGGCTAATAGAAGCTCTTTAACCAAAAGGTATAAATCAGTAGCAGAATTATTACGTAGTATTTAGACAAAAAATCATGCTTTTGGGTATCAAAGTCGAAACAGACTTTGTCTCCATTCCTTAGACTTAAAATGGTCAACTCATGTTTGTGCCTTGGAACAATCTAATTTTCAAGAGATGAAAAATAGTTACTAGTGAAAATCATAATAACTAAAGGAGCAATACTCACTAGAGTCTTCCAGACATTGTCGCAAGGTTTTCTCCACTCGTTGGAATAACCCCGCGCAGAGTTCTTCCATGTCCGCTCTGAAAGTAAACAAAACAATTCAATCATAAATAGAAACAGAATAAAATAACTTGTGAACATCTACAGTGAAAGGACCTTAAAACGCTAGGGCAAACATTTAGGCAAAGCGCTAATTGTAAAATAAAAAAAAAAGAATTCCTCCATGGGTTTTCGATGGAAAACGTCTGATGTGGTCTGAAGAAATTATTTAAGTCAGTTCAGTTTATTCATGTCCCATGCAAGAGCATAAAGTCGAATTTATGTATCTGAGAATGGAGAATAGCAAAGTAAAACCTGAATGAGCTTCCTCTCAAAACCAATATTTTTAAACTTCAAATTTCAAGCCATCATAATGCCTGTTTCAGTACTAGGAACTGAACTTCAGTTCATATTTAACAGATAACAAAAGTCTTTTAGGACAAAAATTTAGGTTACCTGAACTGCCGACCGATTATTGAAGTTGATAGACAAACTATAGACCAAGGAGACAAAGGAGATAAGAAGGAATCTTGGTGGAAGCGAGGGGTTGCGATGTACAATGGAGGTGGGTGATAGACTAACTAACAGCAACCCTTAAGAGACCCTTCGGTTAGTCCATCATTTTCTTCCTTAGTCTGTAGGAACCACCCATTTCAACCAATAGAATTGCTCCATACTCTATAAGTCTTCTTTGTCTGTTGCTTTTTCTATCAATTTCAACGATCAGCCTGATGAAGCTTGGTTACGACTGAAAAGTTCAGCTAACTGGAATGAAAACATTAGTGCTCTGTAAGAACGAAACTTTTATTCTCCTTGCTGTTTCATGTGATTTTTTTGGAGCATTATCTGCGTCAAAAGTTTCCGTCACACCATCAATACTTCCATCGATATCTTCAGGGAGTATAATCAGTATAAATTGGGCGTGTGGAGGCAAACCACCCACTCCGCCAACCAGCGTAGCTCATTGGCTGTAGCCCGCTACAGTCGCAAGCTAATTATCTCGCTCCTGTCAGTCACATGGATCACACTCCTCATCCAACGCATGGACATCATGCAACCAGCCAGCTTGTCTCTTCCAACAGCCCTTCTTAGGGCCACAGGTGTAAAACGCGAAGTACGCGCAGAGGCTTAACGTATAACACACTTTATTGAACTCACCGTTTCATGTCACAATGGACATCCTTGTCTTCCATAAAGCACTCGATGTTTAGAGGTAGTTTGGTAGAATTGGCCGACATTTGTTTCTTGAGCTTGTCCACTTCCGTAAGGAGTCGTGTATACGCACGAGCGTTGGTCATAGGGTTTATGTTGTATCGAGCTTTCAGGTCTTTGCTCAGGTGTTCTGCTAGGATCACATCGAACGAATGACCACCTAGATCTGGATCGGCTGCACAGGCTAACATCTGAAAAAAAAATTACCAGAATTAGACATTTTTCCTCTACTTTTTTTTAAAATAAAAACTTCTCATTACTACACTCCAAGGAACGGTTTGTAACAAATCCACATTTCTTTCAGTAGAAAATGTTCTGTAGGATCAAGTTTGAATTTTGAAATTAATTACTTTTTAATTTAAGAATTTTAACCTAACTATGCATGTAGAAGATAAGGTGGACGGATTCAACTGGAATCAGTCCAACTACATGAGAGGTTGCCTATTTTATTCTAATATTTCACTATTTTTGCAGAAAATTGAGCAACACTGAAATTTGAGATTTAGCAAGTGCGTTTTTCATTGTCTAAGGTAAATTGACAGAAAGTTTAAATGCATTAAATAAATAAGCTGTCTCTGTAAGTAATGAAACATGAGAGAAAATTGTGCAGCTTGAAATGCAGGTAGGCTGTTTCTGCTTGCATCGTTCAACTTTCATAAGAATTTTTATTTTTTTTTAAAAGTAATAATAATAATGATCGGTGCTCTTCACAATGTCTCAGGTCTGGATTCGATATCATGGGAAAATGCAATAGTGTATTTTCTTCGGAAAATACACTAAAAAAATAGAACTTGAAATGCAGCAATGTAAAAAAAATTTTAAAAAATTGAAAATTTCAGGTATTTCTGTGAGCAAAAAAAAATTTCACAAGTGACTGGATCCCCAAAATAGGACCTCATTTTCCCTGGGCAAATTTTTCTCAACTTTTTGCAAATGCATGTAGAGAGAAAATCTGTAAATTTGGCCACACGTTTGAGCCAGAAAGCTCAAAAATTAAGAGAAATATGAGTCCCAGTTTCATGAAAAAGGTTAGGTTGTAGAAAAACCTAGTTAACATTTCTGCTGCAAGATGAGAAAAATCTTCTCCTGGAAGATAACTGCAGGGTTGCAACAGAATTGGAAAAATGAATTTTCCTGATACATTTAGGTAAAATTCCCTGCCAATTAAAGATAAACCAGATGGTTAAGAAGACATCATTGTCAATAGTTTTTAGGCAAAATTTGTTGTTTGAAAAGTCAAACTTATTTTAGAAAGTAAATACTTAAAGGTGAATTATCAATTTTTCCCAGACTCTTCTGTTGTCCTCTCTGACATTTCCAGGTTCTTTTGGACTCTTTAAAATTTCCTGACATTTCACTGGATTTCCCTGACTGGCAGTCCTGCCAGTCACAAATATGAGTAGACTCAATACAATATAACAATTTATCAGGCGTCAGACAATTAAAACACCAGCGCATTGGAACATTAATCCAGCCAAAAATTAGTAACTGAATGCGTACCTTAAGCTTTCCTTTGTGGAACGCACATGCGGAGACTTGTAGAGACGAATAACCGCAGTCAACAAAGACAACATTCCTAGGCTTCTCTTCTGGCGGGGGGAGGTCTTGTTTGTAGATACCATACGCCAAGGCTGTGGCTGTAGTTTCGTTAAACAATCGAAGTACATTCAGCCCTGCGATTGAAGCTGCATTTAACAGTGCTTTCCTCTCCGTATTTGTGAAATAACTAGGAACCTGCAGAAAACATAAAAATAATGATTAATGTATTGGTCACAGTGAAGCAAAAAGGGACCACTATAAAATGTCAAAAGAGACCAGACAAAAAACCATGAAATTTTCGACAATGGTGCTTGATTTACTGTAAAAAAAAATTCCACAAATTTCAAGATTTTGTGAGGGAGTGACTTGATAAAATTAATTATCTTGTTTGAATACCTTCATCTTCTCATAACTGATAGGAATTCTTTAAGTATTCAGATTTCATAAGTACAGTTGGATCGACAACATGAGAAATTGACCAATTTTAAACATCAGTCGAGAAATTGCATTGACAGTATTGAACAACCTCAAGACATTATAATGTCTCTCAAAAGTGTTGAATGAAAAAGGAAAAAAAAGAAAGATACAAAAGAGAGCAAAGATAAAATTCATCTTACAGAAATAACACAGTCATTGATTTTGGTATTGAGGGCTTCTTCAGAGATGGCTTTCAGTTTCGTTAAAAGCATGGCTGTGATCTGCTCTGGGTGAAATACATGTGGCTCGTTCAAGTAGTTCACCTGAAAACATAAAGTACTGATGAGAACTTAGGGTAATTTTCAAGTTTTAACACAAATTAAAGCAAAACTTTAAATTACATAGAGGATAATTGGAATTGAGCTAGATGGAGGATCTGTACTCCGATTTGAAGCCTCCGATTGATTTAAAGATCGACAAATGTTTCAATTTCTTTAAAAAATGCCACTTAACTCTCTCATTGTTATGAGAACTGTGAGTGACATTTTTTTCTTTTTCGTAATTTTTTATTCCTCTAACGGGAAACTTTCATTTAAGTGTTTAACCTCACTGTAGAGGAAACAAACTTTTGAGACATGATTGACATTTTGCAGATCTCAGTATTTACTAAATAGTAAAGCAAATCTCATAGCACCATGACAAAATCAAAGCAGGACAATGCTAGACATAAAAAACCTCATTCACATTTAGGAATGTGAATCCAATTGAGGAGAAGCAAAGAAGCTTACCTTAATTCCAACCCCACCGGATGGTGTTTCGACTGTCTGGTATGTGAGACTCTGAAGATCTTTCTGGATGAACGGGTCTTTGTACTGGCGCCCCAAAAGTCGCTTGAACCCGTAGACAGTGTTTTTCATGTTTGTTACCAGCTGATTCTTCGCTGCAACTCCTAGGATCCTGGTTTTCTCGCTGAAGGCTACGCATGATCTGTAAATATTTCAAGACAAGACATGGATCAATTTTTATCCCAATAGAAAAATAATCCAATTCCCAGACTTTCGAACAAAACTATCCCTTTGATTTATTTATATTTTTTTCTTTTTACTCGCAATGACCAGGCTAAGCTTCAAACAAAATTTCCACTTCTGAAGATTCAAATTATGGAAAAGAGAAATCATTTGCGCTCCTTACTTAAAATGCAACCCACTGAAGTAGCTAAGCCAACGCGCTATTTGCAAAATGACCTGACTTTTTGTGGTCACTGTATATTCCTTGACTGAGGTTTCCAGAAATCCTGCTGCAAGGTTGCAAAGTTGTGCAATAAAATGAAGAATTTTGCATGGGTTTAGAAGGGGGAAAAGTGCTGATTTTTCAGCACTGACAACTAAGGTTGCCAGGTTGTGTGATAAAATATAGATATTAAACATAGGTTAAATGGGATAAAATGCTAATTTTCTGCACTTTCTAACAACAATGTCACAATGTGTAGCACAAAGAGAAAAGAACATTAAAACATGACAAACAGATGATAAACATTTTGCCTTCGAAATCTTATCACGCAGTCTGATCACATCAAATGTTCATTTCTGACGAAATATTGTTCTCATACTTTCTTCAGCCATAACATTGAGCTCATGAATAATCACTTTAGGACAACTGCATGGATTCAACCAGAATCAGTCCTAACTGCATCCAATTTAGCCTGATTTTGGCTCATGTTAAAAAATTAACAGACACTCCAGAAAATTCTGTCTGAAAATGTTGTGAGATCTTAAAATTCGAGGGAAATTCACCAACAGTTTCAATACTTTTGACCAGGGTAATTTCCAAGAAAAACAGGACCTTCCAAATAATCTTTTCTAACTGCATTCAGCGATGAATCTTGATGGACTGAAGTATGTAGGAAAGTATTTTCCGAATACGAACTGGAAAAAACTTGTGCAGGTGCTACATGCCTGAGATAATTGCCTCAGAAATATTCCTCCTATACATTTCTGCAGAGAGGTCTGCAGAAATGAACATTGTTACACTGGACAGACCTGCATAATGACAAGAAACACCCAAGTGACTTTGAAATACAATGGAGGCTCAAGTGGTTCAATTGAGCGCTTCTTCTTCCCAGGCTCTTGTTCTCATTGTTGCGCCCTGCAGAAGTCAGATAAATCCCTGTCTGATGAATGATACCAGCCTTAAAGTGTAGATCACTAGGCGTTCTGTAAAACTCTTGCTGTAGGTAAATCCCTAAAGCTTGGAGGCCAACTGACAACAAGGGGTTAACTCCCACTACCTGGTTACCATGCAAACGAAGAAGGATGTGGATACAAAGCCGTCTTAATTAAATAGTCTTGTACGATACAATAAGGCAGTAAAGAATAGAGAAGTATTGGGAAATTAAAGGATCAGTAGCAAAGATGTGAAGGAATTGCGAAAGGCTTCGCAGGTTGGAAAATTCTCATAAAACCAATTTGAACTCAGCAAGGTGGAAATGCAGATTGTGTGCAGAAGAGAGTATAAAATTACTAGTGACCATCTGGCCGAATCGGAGCAGTAAATATTGACCTATCGGAGAAATGATGCTAGGTACAAATACAATGTATGATGGATGTAGGATGTGGATAAGGTAATGGTCAACCACAGGCTACTTAGTGATAACCTTCCACAACACGGCCCCAAAGTGGGTTTGGTCAAGATCTTTGAAGTCGAGGCTAGTTGGGCAATAAGGGGTTGAAAACACGAAGGGATAGCAAAGGAGAGTGGAAAAACTGACTGGAAGTCTTGGAAATGATAAAAATGGGCGAAGATCAAAATACGATGCGTCATGGGCACCTGTGCACATGCTACGGAACCGCTACGGGAATTAGTCAGGTAGTCGTGTTTACGACGAAAGAAACACAACGAATTCGGGTAAAACGCATGGGAAAGGTGAGAACTAGGCAAGGAAAACGTTTACTTACGGTGTGGCTCGTAAACTGTAGTCGTTCGCAATGGTTTCTATTCCACCAGCACGGGCTACGGCGACATAACAAGACTCGTTGCCGAAATCTATGCCAATCACTGACATAGCAGCCATCGTTCACTAAATCAGACTCGCACGAACTTAATTATGCACTCACAAGCAGGAAAAATTGTTAATAATCACTATGCGAAGGCAAAATATCACGCACACAGACCGGTTACAGAGACGGAAATGAGTACAAGTCGAAACTTTCGACACACGAGGCAGCGAATCGGACGATACTGATAGGAATTGATGGGAGAGCACATGGAATGGTCGCCGCTGGCCAATCAGAGGCCGGTATATGTTTGGAAATTTCTAGAACTTTTAGAGTTAAAAGAATCGGGACAATGCGCTTGTCTATCGGGCGATGCTAGCGCTCCCGGCGATCGGCTTGTGAACTGTAGCAGTGTAGCCAATGTAGCTACATTTACCCTAGACAAACTGCATGTGTTTTTACTCTTCTCATAATCATATAACGGCAACTAGCAATACATTCTGCAACAATACATTAAAATATAATATTTAAATCCAACTTATTGAGGAAACTTTTACAAGTTTGTCCAATTACTCTATTTTATAACCGAAGGACGAGGATGGCTATAAAGCGCTTTTTCATTATACAGTTGGTTAACATGTAAGATAAAAAGAGCGGGTAGGGACGGTAAGTATAAATAACAGGATTTCATGCGTGAAGTTAATGATGCCTTGAATGAAGTCAATAAAACTCCGAATTTTCTGGAAGGATCATTATTATTTCATGATGCGACCATTGTAATTTAATTAACTGCTTCGGATAGAAATTTTGAATACAGACGAGCTTTAAAAACGTGATCCAAATGAAAAATATTTACCAACTCTCGTCGGTATTCCAGAGATATACATATTCCATACTTAGGTACTACATCCATGGCATCCATGAAAATGTGGATATCGTGGAGTTATTTTAAGAACTACTTGTTTTGACAGTTATTTACTTAGTGGAGGACTAAATTTACGAAATTTCGGCAATTTTAAGTCTCAAAATATACGATCAACCGTAAAACATTTCCACTCAACCTTGGTGTCACTTGCGCAGGAGTTAAAAACATCATGGATGGAGTAAAAACAAATTATTGAAGTAAAAGTTTGTAGATAAATGAGGAGCTTTTCCTCTATTTTTAGAAAGGAAAAATACTATGACTCATATGACTTTACAAAGAAGTCTTGACAACACAAAGAATTGTGTAGGTAGCCAACTTTGAAACAGCCTAACTGCTCATGACAATGCCTAACTTCCTCTCAAGTTTCATTTTTATAAACAGAGAACTAAGCTAATAAAGCGCTGTTAAAATTTATGTGAATTCACCGTCAATTATGAAGAAGATTCTCACAAAATTTTAAATTTCAGCATTAATTCGTTTTTTGTGTAAAAAATTAAACATCAGAGAAAATTGGGCAATGTCTCTTTGAGTTAGGCTCATTCTGGTTGTATTGCGCTGAAGTTTATTTTCAATGTTTACATTTTCAAAAATGGTTCAGCTTCCGGAGAAAAAAGAGTAAACAGTATCATAATGCATAACTTGTCTTTCGAGTAGGATGTGCTGTAAATTAGTATTGCCACGTCCCAAGAAAAAATCACAGCGTGATAAAAATGTTGAAATAATTTTGCACATTTAATGTGATAAAATCGCAAGTTTTTTCACCATAAAATTGCAAAATTTTGACATCATTGGATCGAAAAATGCTGATTTTGAAAGATCAATTAAATGAGTTTAATTCTTAAATAAGGCAGGTTTGCAGTGTAAAAAACTTCCAACTTACTCCAATTTTATTGCAATACATTTTGAGCCCTTTCAATTGTTGTATAGACAAAACTCTAATTCAATAGCAATAAATTTATCAGGTAATTACAATTTATTGCAACGTTGGCTACCTGGGGAAAAAGGCTGCTTTTATACTGAGTTAATTAATGACTAGATCTATGAGAAGGGGCCTTATCTTCCCGGAGAAAGGTTCTTTGATTTTGTTTCAGATGCATTAAGGAAGATAATCTGGATACTTTGACGCAACTTTGATCCTGAAAGCTTTAAAATTGATGGTGATGTGAGTCCTGAAGTTTCGAGACACAGCATTCTAAGGTTGTTGAAGAACGTAGTTAGAGTAATTGCAAAATTTTAGAGAAAACTTTCTCCTGAAAGATAGGGTCCCTCAGTGGCAATTCTTAAAATAAAACAACACTGATTTCTCACCATTTAATTGTATTAGCCTGTGTCACACTATCAAATTACTCCATCAAAATCTCAAGGTCAAGTGCTGTGATTGGCTAATTTGATGACTTTTGCAGCTAATTTTATGGACCAATTACAACACTTGACCTGGACATTTTAATGGGGTATTTTGATAGTGTGACACAGGCGTATACAATTAAATGGAGAGAAAACAGAGTTGCCAGCTTGCAAAATCGTCACTTCGTCCCTTTTCACGGATCCGGTCACTTTTGAAAGTATGGAAAATGAATTTGAAAAATCAAAAGCAGAAAAAATTGGGCAAGATTCTTGCGATGCATGAAATGATAGGCAGAGGTTTAACATGGTATGGTATGTATTTACACCTACAGTAGAACCCACAAGGCAAGGAGGGTTAAAAATTAAAACTCTGAAATAAAATACTATCAAAAGTAAAATATTACAAAAAATTAACAAGATAAAAGGGCATCAAAATACTACAGATATCGTAACTTAGAATATTGTCATTATGTTGCGCTTGGTCGAAAATGGTAGGTATAATAAAGGTGCGCTGAAAGCCGCTGCTACCACAGCCATTCGAGTCGCTCTTTAAAAAATCCATAAAAAAACAAATTTAAGATTAGGAAATTAATACTAGAATAAAAGGAAATTATAGTAAATTAACGAGTGGTTTAGTTGCGTTCCCAAAGACATCGATGACTTGGAGAAAATTTGGCGGCAAGGTCAAAGTCAGGTTTCAAATTGGCACATTTTTTTCAATGATTTCCTTTTCTGGACTCTACGACAACTCAACCAAACACTGTGAAAGTAAGTTCACATCCAAATAATGAAAATACAAAGAACGAATTTAAAATCAGTCTCATGAAATCAATCAATCGAACGGTCGATTTTGGCAATAATCGAAGGAAATTTGGCCATGTCTGAGAGCTCCGATGGCGGTTTTTTTCTTCTTTTTAAGCATCGAAGAGCTCTCCTTATGGGAAAAATAACATTAATCTCTTTCACTTTGCAAATTTTTAACATGTTCCTTCCGCAAACACGTAAAAATTAAAAACATCAGTTTGAAAGATCACTAGAAAAGGTTACGTTATCAGACCTGCACAAAATTTTACAATTTCAACAACCAAAAAATAAAACAAAAGATTAAAAAAGTGTATTCATTGCTGGTAACAAATCACAAACTTTTAGAGGAGATGCTTTTGGTAGAGGGCGCAGTTGCTTCTATGAGGAATTTCTAGAATCAATACAGAGCTCCATTTGATTATTTTTTTAAACGTGTTTGAATAGTATGGTTAAACAATCAAAATTTAGTAGTTATTACAAAGCACTTTGGCTGGATAATTTTCTCAGCCACTTTTATGGACTGGAATAAAGAAACGATAACTAACAACATGGTAAATTTTTAAAACCTTCAAGGGAGCCTTTAGAAATGCATTTGTACAGTTTGAAGTTTCATACATAATACATTCTATGCATTTTCCTACTTTTGACTTACAAAAAGTTCAACACTGACTCAAGTCTTAGTTTTCAGACTTGAATATATAAAAAGAAATATTAAGCAAGTTTTACAAGAACTTTGTTAGTTCAAACTAAATATTAGAATTCAAGAAAGGGTGACTCACAAATTTCAAAATGCAATGCAGTAACATTTCTAAAAGAAAATCCTTGTAACAGTGCCAAAAATTTACATTTAAGTCCCAATTTTCTCTAGTTGGAAGTACAGAAATTTCCAACCTTGAAGCATTTCATGGTCAGAAAGTTGAATGGAATAAATATTAAAAATAGGGGTTTTTAGTTAATCCCAATGGTATCATTTAGGAGAATCATCATAACCGACAAACTTCAGGCACAAAAATATAATAACAAGTTTGGCTTCTTGATCTATTCGTGATATTTGTGCGTTAACTAGAAAAATAAAAAAAAATCACAGTACACAGGGGCTTTCAAATTGCGCAAGAAACATACAGGTAAAAATAAAGTATCGAATAGGAAGACACGACTGGTAGGATATCTAGCTTAGCAGTGCTATTGGTACAGATCCACTGAGACATACATGCGAAATATGATTAATGTTGATAACGGTATACTTGTGATGATAGAACATGTGATTAATTACTGATATGACGATAAGGTTAGCAGTTGCTGAGTTGGGGATCGTCTACGTTCATTCTTGTAAGTGCTGATTCTGTCATTTGGTTGTTTTGGAAGAGACAGTTGAGACATTCTGAAAATTAAAAATAGGAGATAATGTGAGAAGGATAAAAGGAAGAACTCGTTCAAAAGTCGTTTCAAAATTCTATCTGCCTGTTAATTGGGATAAAACTAAACTGATGGGATGCATTGATGGGCAAAGAGCTAAACCCATTTATCTCAGTTTACAATGATGCATGCTTCCTGTCATACATGTTTTCCTTTAGAAAACTCGGGAGCGTAATATCTTGAAAACTTTCTTGATTTTCACTCTCTGCTAGCAGAATATTCTGTATGAATTTCAAACTATGACGTTTGCTCAGGTCTTTTGGAAAAAATAAAATGGGAGCAGAAATTTTGAATCATGGCGATAAAGATACATGGTCTTATACTTCGGCCATTGATATTTACTTAGAAGTTGTAAAACAGACTTGAGGGCAACAGTACAGGGCTGCTGACATTTGTTACAAAAGGATGCTTTCAAAATTGGAGGTTAGAGTGTCTTATACACTCATATTTCCGAGACTATTGGAAAAAATCCAAGGATTTTTCACACTTACTTGTGGAACTTTTTAAATGGACGTATTTCTATCAAACAGATCTATGTGGAGGTAAGAAATATGGGGTGTGCTCGTCGAAGCTGCATAAGAAACAATGTAAAAGTGGACGTGATTCCTTTTGAAGAATTGGCAAAGCGGGATTTTACATTCTACCAAACAGACCTATGTGCCAACTAAATGCGGAACTCATGAGCCGCGGGCATGGCAAGAGAGCGTTGTGGACAGGGCTCATGAGTTTATGCAGAGGCGGGCGGACGAGGGCGGAGGAGGCGAGCGGCTTCGTTGCCGCTGACGTCACTGGCGCTTCATTATTCTCATTCACTCTTACGGCCAGAGAACTAACGAGCACTCCCCATATTTCTCACCTCCACATAAGTCTGTTTGGTAGAAATACGTCCAAATTATCATTGGAGTTAAATGAAAATGTATTAATGTCTTCTATCTCCAGGGTCATTTTATATCACCAAATTGATGCAGATCACCTCTTTGAAGAACAAGGTCTAAAAGTTCCCCGACTTCCACGGCGATTTAAATAAATCAATAATCATAAATAAATAATCCGATGTTCTCCGGATAAATCTCCGTATTTCCCAATTTTTCAGGTTCTAGACACTATGCTTAAAGGCCTAGATACACACGGCGATTAATCGCCGCAAGTGAAAGACGAAAGCCAATGGAAAGCCTTGATTTCGATCTATTGACATCGATATATCGAAATCAAGGCTCTCCATTGGCTTTCGTCTTTCACTCACAGCGATTAATCGCCGTGTGTATCTAGACCTTTCATCGCAAATTCCTGTGGCATGCATGGGTTCCGCAGATATTTTCAATCTTTTGTTGTGTCAAAATGTTTACAAAAAAAAGCTCCTTCAAAGAGTGGTACCAATCCCAGAATTTTTAGTTTTTTGGTGCTAAGGTCCCTTTGTGAAAGATTATACTAAGTAATTAATTTTTTCTTTAAGATTTGTATTAGAAATAATCAAAGCTAACTCACCTGGTTCAAAGATCCATTGGGCTCCTCAGAAGCAATTTCGTGATTTATACCTGATTTCTGCGGACAGGAAAGACATAAATAAATATTCAATGTTGGAGGGTCAAAACATCAAAGGGACTAGAATGGTTCCGCGCAAGCTTTAGATTAATAAGGCTGTCAACGAAGCAGAGGAAGGTTTGAGCCTTTTTAATACTCACTAAAATTATCGTTTCTGGGAGCAAAATGTCTACAGACTTCCGGGAAAAAAAATAAAAATTCCAGACTTAATCTAGATTTTTCTTTGATTATTGGGCTAAATTTACTCGGCCAGTCGAGACACTGACAATGAGTAGTATAGAACAATCATTAATAATTTTAAGAGCCTGTTTGCTACTTCTTAAATATTGTCAAAGATCAATAGACTTAAAATTCTTGAGGCCGCATTTAGACGGCTTCGTGTAGAATGTACCTAACTGCATTTCCTGTTACCTAATTTCCTCTCATGTTTTATTTTTTCAACAGAGAACTAAACCACTTCTGTTTAAAAATGAAACATCAGAGAAAACTAGGCAACATCTGATGCAGTTAGGCTCTTTCTGATTTCATCTGTCTGATTGATAATATCTTGATTTTAGATTTTATTTCAAAAATTTCCAAACGTCATACATGACGCTGAAGAGGAATTGGATAGATATTTGCAAGAGATTATTGATTTTTGTATTATAAATAAGTAAGCTTATAACTGCCATAATCTGGCAACTTAGGAGTCTCGAAAAGATGGAGAAAATTTTCCCTGGTGGCGCAAGATTAGTCCGGTAATTACTTAACAACCGATAGTATCAGCTGGAATTTAGCATGGAAGAAGGGGCGGGGAGCCCCGAAACGCATCTGCAATTTTAATTTATTGGTGTGAGTTTGAGTTTTTTAGTTCCAGCTTCCTTTATGTCATTATTTAGCTCCCAATTTGGTACCTCGATTTCTCGTTTGTTTTGTTTCGTTTTTCCTTACTTTTGATATATAACTAATAGTATCGTTGAATAACTTGACACAGATAGGTGCTTTTAAGGTTGAACCAGAAACAAAGGCTCCTAATCGGAAAATGAGGTCCATTTAACGTTCATTTGTGTTAATATAGTAAGTGAGATATGAGAGGACAAATACATGAGAAAAAATATACAAAAGAGTGCGAAACAACAGTATGTAGTACCAAGTGTTTTCGTGTGAATAATTTTATTAGTAAGGCCAATGAGTGTTATTGGTGATTAGCAGAATGGAGATTCCATAAATAAAAAGGTAAAAAAAGAATTTATTGATTTATTAAATAATTAATTTAAAGATATCTGAGAATTTGACCCAGTTCCGATTTGAGGATAGAACTTAGACGTTTTTGACAAAAAATACTGTTTAAAGTACATGATTATTACCATCATATTAATACTTTGATTAAACTGATAGTGATTCACCACAGAGAGAGTTAATTAATCAGAAACAATCATATTCCAAGGCGTTTGAAACTTTAATGAAAGCCAGTCTCATTTTTCAAAAAACTTTTTTACCTAGAAAATAGAGAAGAACATTTACAAACAGAGATATAATATCATGATTAAGTCTGGCTTAAATTTGAGCTTCTTTTTGGAGATAAATTGAGCTGCAATTTGAGTAATAGGCTGCAAGGCAAGTTTTGATCTCAGCAATAGAGAGGAGGTCACCTCTTTTAGTAGCTCATTCCACTTTACTTAATTTTGGTAAGCTAGCTTGCTCTGATTTAGGTTTTTCTTCCCATTAGTTAAGACCTTTTACCTTGTGGACGGTCACAAATGTTAAAATTGGACTGAACTTTGCCATTAGGTACTAAAATTTTTGGCTCATCTGAAAAACACTTATGTGGATAAGGAAACCAGGGTGTCTACTAAAACAGGTAACCAAAAATCAGTGCTTTTACAGTACTTTTTCAGTACATTCCTGAGAAATTCAGTGCCTCCTCAACAGAAAAATTCAGTACTTCTTCAGTGCTTCAAATTATTGACGAAATTTAAAAAATTTGAATTTCGCTCCAATTGAGACAAAAATTACGAAAAAATTAGAAAAATTCCTTACCGTCCTGCGGAATTTCCGCACTTTTTCAATATTTCCGGACCGCCCTTAAAAAATCAGTACTATTTCCGGACTTTCCAGAAATTTTGGACTTGTAGACACCCTGGGAAACTGATGATACATATGTTGTTTCTAACCTGAGCCAGATTTTGTTGTTCCTAACTGGACTGCATTTAGCAGAAAGCTAATGCCAACTTTAACTGAGCACTTTAATTTTTTATAAGAGAGCTTTATGCAGATTTTTTTTCAAAATTTGCCCTGTACTATGCAGAAAATTCACACATAAGTAAAAGAATCCACACAACTGTTTTCATGTAAAAAATTAAATTGTCCGATTAAATGTAGCAATAGCTTGTGTGGCTTGGTTCCTTTCTGCTTAACGCGGTCCGATTACAAAATATAGTTCATTGCTGAATCAATTTGTAGAAATTTTCGTCACATCTACAATGTTTTGTATAAACTTATAATTTGGCAAAGTAGCCTAATTTTTTTCCAGGAAAATTCTGTTACATCCTATTCTTGCTGCTTTTCCAGAAACAGAGTCATGACTTTTCCCAACCTCTGGAACGGTGATTTTAATGTATTTCAAGCCTTTGAATAGAAAAATGAACTCAGATTATTTTAATGCTCTCCAGTTTGCCAATGAAACTGATTTTCTCTGAAATATCTTTTTACCTCCTTCATAAAGCAAGGTAAAAAGCAGTCCTAGAAGGAAATAGTTTTTCTATAAAACTGAAAGAGACAAAGAGAAAAATGGAGATCTTTATCGTATTTAGCAGTGGGCCTGTTGCAAACTTTTGCTAGAGCAAAACTAAGAGTTGTTTCTTACAGATAATGCCTCATAAATCACGATGAGCGCATCGGCAAAGTCTGAAATTCACTCATAACTTCACAATCTGCGCAAGAAATTTGCGGTTTTTTGAGCTTCCCGCTTCGAAGACGATACTACGGTACAGGTGAACATTTTGTTAGAGGAGTCGTTCCATTGGAGGCAATACTCATCATGGCCGACGCCAGTCCGCCAAAACACGTGTGATGGGACGAGATAACACCTGAATAGGATTAAACCAGATAACAATCGGCGTGTTTACGTTCATATTTTCCTCGCCCGCCTGAATTGACCTTGAACCCTCCTCGAATTACGCGAGGAACTGCGCAAGCGTTGATGATGAATATTGCCGATGATGGAGCGACTCCTCTAACAAAATGTTCACCTGTGCAGTAGTATCGTTTTTGAAGCGGGAAGCTCAAAATAACGCAAATTTCTTACGCAGATTGTGAATTTATGAGTGCATTTCAGACTTTGCCGATGCGCTCATCATGATTTTTGAGGCATTATCTACAGGAAACAACTCTTCATTCTGCTCTAGCAAAAGTTTGCAACAGGCCCATTGAAAATACACTAAAATCAGATCATTTTTGTACCTGGAAAAGTCTTAATACTGTTTCTTTCAAGTAATGTTTCACAGCATTTTCCTAGAAAAAAAATAGGCTGTTCCGGTCAACTGAGTGGCGTTATGAAATGATGAGGGCTATTCCCAAACTAGAAGGGTCAAAATACACTAGGGCGCACTTCATCCTGAGTCCAGAACATTTTTTACTTACTTGTCTGCAGAACTGTGGTGTTAGAAGAGCCTGAAATTGGATAGGAACGAAAAATGATTGTTTCTGAGAGAGAAAGAGAGAAGAGAAAATGTTAGTAGAACTTACACCAGAGAGTGAGACAGAGAGACTCAGGGCGGAATTCGAGAGCTCATCACCTGATTCCACGATATTTAAAATACTTGCACTGGCCTGCTCCATCGGGCAGATGAGATCGCCGTAATCAATGTTAGATTTTGATTTCTTGCGCTTCAGCGTGAATTGTGTTTTCTTTGGTATCTGAAAATTATTCACAGGAATGAGTGAGAATCTGACCAATATTACCTTTTAAAATAGAGCTTGGCGAAAGTTCTGAAACCTTCCTCAAATTCAATCAGCCTTCCTCCAAAATTCTAAAACATTCTGCCATCTGCGATACTTTCACATTGCTGAGTTCATGGTTAATCGCTTGTTTATTTCCGTTTGCTCTCTTCTGAAGCTTCTTCAGTCTATGAAATAGGAGACAAAATTACAGGAACGAGAAACTTCCAGCTCCATTGATGCTTTATTTTAAAAATGGCATAAGTTCCATTAGTTTACTCATGCAGGTGAGTGCTTTCATTGATAGCTAGAAATATTGATTCCTTATTGCGAAATGTATCTTCAATAATGCTTACTTTGATTTTGGCTGTAGCTGAGAGTGGGACGTGACCCAAGGAAACCTCAGCATCACGTTTTATTTGAATGACATCGCGACCCAGGAGCTCTTTGAAATGGGTACTCAGATGCCGCCTTAATAAAGTTTTCTGGGGGGGAATTGAAAGCAGGGAGGCGAGAAGTTCTGCGTTGAACCTGGGCTCAAACATTATCAGACCGCCATGCACACCTTGAAGAAAACATTTTCATTATGAGAGTTGAATGCAAAAACACAAAAGGAAGAAAAACTCAGAAAAATAAAAACGATTAAAAACCTAAAATTTAAAATTGGTAACTCACTTGCACACAGATAAAACAATAAAATGAGAACTTGGAAAAAGGAACTTAAAGGAGAACTTGGTCTCATCATCAGCGTTCACCGAGTAATTTGACAATCAAGAGTCAGTGAAAGCTGATGATGAGGCCAAGTTCTCAAAACCGAGTTTAATTTAGTATCTATGTGGAAAAGAGTTAACAATTTTGATTTTTAGCTTTTTTATCGTTATAATAATCCGCTTCATGCTGCATCAGCAAATAAAAGCCTATGCTTGGTTTAGAGTTGGCTTTTTTACAACCCACGCCCTGCTTTTGTAATTAATATAGCTAAAATAAGAAACCTAGGATAAACGGTGGTCTGGTAGGGGGAAAAATGCGACAAAAATGTACCCAACAACAGTTTGCAGGGGATGAATCTGTATGTGTGGCTTTAAAATCGCGAAAAATCTAAATCCTGGCTGATCCTATTTTCGAGACATCGCAATTTGAAATTATGATGGTAAATGCAAGTTATCTACAGCTTTTGATCGATTTGCTCCACCGTAGACCCGTAGAGATTCATAGGGAGAGTGTTGCTTGAACATGATTTTCAGCTACCACCTTGGATTTGGAACATACTTTGCATGAAATTATAATTATGTTAACTATTACCTGAGCCTCTGAGATTTGGCGCATATTCAGCCAGATCAACAATGCGCAGCCACTCCATAACACGATGGTTCGTCCACAGCGCCACCTGACTTGGGTTTGTCTCCGTCGCGTCTCCAGGCACTGATCGCCGACACAGGCAGTTGGGTTCGAATTTATTATTTCTAAGTACCTGCAGCAAAAATTGCCATTTGGAAATAAAGACGTTATTGCCAGATAGTGGTAACATATCTACATTTTAACATATAAACTGCCAACCACGGGTGGTGACTAGCCTCAAGTTGTAAAATTTAATGAGCTATTTAATAATTGTTCCATGGATGACTAAAAGCTCAGAATGATTGCTTTGTACCAATGGCTTAGTGAGAAAAATAATGGAAAATTTGCGTTCGAAATTTTCAGAGAATTAAATATTTTCAAAATTATCTTAACAAGGTGAAGAAAAATCAGATGAAGTTTCATGTGATATTCTTTACAATATGACTTAATATCCTTCAAAAATAAGAATAGGAAAACAGCTGTGACCTAGGGGAATAAGTAAATTTTTGGGAGAACCACCTCTGGTAATTAGCCTGATGAAAAAATTAATTTTGTGGGCCAGTTACAACCGATTTGAATTAGGTTTTTCAGTCAGCAGAAAGTTTTTCTGCAAGTCACAAAACGTTGTACAACTTATTTAATAATGATCAGATTTGAGAAACTTAGTCTTAAAATACAGCTGAGGACATGTAGAATCCGATGAGAAAAAAATGAGTACCTACTCCCCTAGAGGAGAAAACTTACTTGGATACCGCACCGCAAACTGGCAACATGGAGAACGGATGAGATGTGGAGAGCAGCGAGATCCTCGAGCGTTAGTCTATGAAGAGTCGCTCCGTTAATCCTCGCCGCGAGAAACGAGTCCTTGTACTGAGGAAGCCCGACATCATCTAACCACCGCAAAACCCAGACGGTTTCTAGTTTGCCTGCTTCGAGCAAGAGAGGGTTCTTGATTTCATCGCCACGCTCGCACTGAAGCGCCAGGAGTAACTTCTTCCTATGAAGTGCGTTCTATAAAGCAATGTCACTGATTAGTCATTTATACTTTAATCCAATTTCTTTACAGTTTTCATAATTTAACTTTTCAATTGGGACACTCGAAGCAAACGGAGCAAAGTTCCATGAATCTGATTTTTCAGAAATAGCAAGAAGCTGTCACATTGTTGCAAAAAGCTGTGCATAAACACTTTTTTTTCACCAAGTGTAGTTTTTGATTCTGCTTTGATTGTGTGTGAAAAAAGGTCCTCTGAGCACATCGAAAGCCTCGCTCCCCAAAAAGGGATTTACTTACAACGTTAAATCATACCTTGACTAGCATCCTGTTTTAAGCGACTTTACCTACTTGAAGGCTACAGGGTCGCCAGTTTTTATCGTGAGTGACAGATCTTTTTGCAAGGAATAACTCACTTTTATTCCAAGGTGTTTCTCCAGATCATGGCTTGTCGCGTTGAGTAACTGTGTTCCTGATACAACCCATTTCTTTGCAGCATTGACATAACTATCCAGTCCTTTCTCCGTCAACCAATCACAAATTGAATCAAGGCTCCAGTCACTAAAAGGTAAATTTGGTCTGAAAGAAAGCAAACATGTTGAAATGGTTAATTCAACGATGATTAGGTCTGTTGCAAAATTTAGATACGCGAAAACATAACTAGAAAGAACATTTTCGAAGGGTAGTAAGAACCGCTCAAAAATCATTATAAGCCCTTGAAAAAAGTTTGGAGTCCATTGCATTATTCGGACCGTCTGTATCTTTTAATATCAAAGTTCTCATACACCAAACCCTCTTTTTTTCATTTTTGGGAATTTTTTTAGCCAGAATGTTTGTGTTAAGTGCTGCCAACACCTCAATGATCTTTTTTAGGTGCTGAGGTCTCTTTGCCGTGAGTCACTAAAAAAATTTGGTAAAAATTGTGCATTGATGATAAAGAAATGAAAGCCTGAGGGTTTCCTTAGGTCAGAATAAAGGCTAAGCACAATATGAGTTGAATTTAACAGTTTTTGACTTTTGTACAAAGTAAATCCGAATTACTCAATACTTACTGACAGCTCATTTTTTAATAGAATTTAAGTACAAGGATATTTGGTTCCTTGCAAAGCAATCAAAAATAGGATTTGTTGATAGTATGCTACAGAGAACACCCCTCTCAATGTTAGATGACAAGTTGAGATTGATTAAAAACAGTCTGTAAGACAACCTAACTAATCAAACTTACTATACCTGGGTTTTACGTTGGAGCTAGTGAGGCGTCCATTCGCAGTTGCCCGCAATCCGCCTCTTTGAAATTCACCGCCTGATGTGTCATCCAGGTTTCCGGAATTACTTCGCTTTAACCTACAGCAAATACTGTGCGTTAATGGAATCGGACAAACCAAGTCTCAGCAAATCATGATGCTAATTTCCTTCAAGATGTTGATGTATCAAATTGAAGGAGAGCCAGTTGACTCCGAGGAAAATTGTTAAAAAAAATTAATGTTAAAAACAGCTAAATATCAAAAGCTATTACTTTTAACTTACCATTTTAACCCCTAAATGAATCAATTCTGCCAATTTAAATGAATGTGTCGAACCAAATGCTCAATTTTAAAAAATTTTTGACTTCTCTTTTTGGTGTTCTAAAGGAATATAAATGTACCATAATTCTTAGATTAGCTCAAATTTATAATTAAAATTAATAAAATAATAAAAATACTAGATGTTGCATTTCAATCGGTCAATAATTCCTCTGGGAGAAGAAAAATGGAGTGAGCTAGAAGGAAGCCAAGCAGAATACAACTTACTTTCCAAGAATCTTTCTAATTCCTCTTGACCGATCCATGTTGAGAGAAGGACTCTGATGCGGAGAGAAGTCTTCATCACCACACTCAGATACAACGTCACTCATTCCAGTGTTCTCTGTTTCAGCTAAAAAAAAAAAATTAAGAATTTTACAAATAATGTGATGATTATTTGAATGCTGGAATGCTACTTGAATATAATAAATTCCATTCAGCCTTGTCCATGAATGGTTTTTGCGATTCCTTGCGGTGACAACTTCAGCAAACAAGCTGTGCTGCGGAGTTTTATAGTAAAGATTAGAAAAATACTCCAATTATTGAAGAATTTGTGGCAAGGGTCGCAACGGAGATCCAAAAAGTCAGATAGTTGAAATCATCAGAAAAAAACTGACAAATTGCCATTTCAGGCTCTTTTTGTGACCAAAAAGCACAAGCTTAGCCAATTATCTATTGTATATCGATGGTGAAACTGCAAAAATGCGTATATCGGTTGCAGTGTTTGAAAATCTCCGCTCCTATTTTATTTTTTAAAAGGAAACCGAACCAACATCGTGGCTTGAAATTTTCTCAGAATATTCTTCCCATAGAGAAGAAAAATATCCGAAGTGCTCAATAAATGACGTTGAGTGGTTTTCCATATAAAAAATAAAGTATGACAGGAAGTCTGCAACGCCGCAAACCGATAAACGCATTTCTGCAGTTTCGCCATCGATATGTAAACATAGCAATTAAATTGGAAAAAAAACGCAAGAAACCACCAATTTACATTCAATTTTTGCCAAATGACCGATTTTATCAGTCATTTGGCAAAAAATGAATGTAACTTGGTTAAACCGATTAAATCGATAAAATCGGTCAATTGGCAAAAATTGAATGTAAAATGTTTTATTGTGTCTGCTGATTTGTCTTTAACCAAAAACTCAATTATGACTACGTCCGGAAAGTGAAGTGTCGTATAATTGCCAAATTATATTGAGAAAAGGTGATTACAGAAAAAAAGAAGTTTTCTCGACTTTGCCTGTCATTATATTGGCCGGTCTCTTATTTACAGGAATTATAATTAAATAATAAATTAATTATGTAAAAAGAAAATAGGAATCCATCCAGCAACACTGGGCTTTTTGAAAAAATAGCAAGAACAGATCGAATAGAGAGGCTACATCATACATTTCAAATCGCAGTTCAATGATTCCATTGCAAAAAGACACATAACCTTGTCCAAATCTGTCCAAGTATTTTTTTTGCCATTGAAATTGCTTGCGTTTATTGAGTACTTGATTCATGATTTGTTAACGCTCAAATAATAATGATTTGACACAATTAACTTCACACGGAATTTGGACACTAGCTTTTGTTCTACTGTTTTGGTTGGAATCATCGCATATCAAATGTCGAATACTGGAAACTGGAACCATTGCAAATTGATTTATTAGATATCACAAGAAAAGACTGACTTAGTGGCTACGTCATGCTTCAAATGTAAACAGACACATAACTTTGTTTCTGATTCGCGCCCTTTGCACCATGGTGGTTGGTGGTAAAATGCATCCAAGTGTTTCTTACAATCGAAATTTCTCATGTTTAATGAGTCCTTAATGGATTTGTGACCAGTCAATGACTAAATTTTAATAAATGAACACAATTAACTCACGAAGAATTTGTACATGAGGTTATGTTAGTTTGTTTTGGTTTGAACCAAAAGTTCGATATTGAATGACGTAGCCACTAAATCAGTCTATAAATGTTGCAAAAAAAAACAACAAAAAAAAACACAAAAGGAGAAACCTCTCTGATCCAAGGACTAAAAATGTATGTACAAAATGAAAAACTTACACTCCCTATGAAGGGGATTCTTATGTACACAATCTTTTTTTAAAGATTAAGTACATCCCCTTCAAGAGACACAATCTTTAAGAAGAAATAAACAAACTACATTTTAAAAGGCATCACTGCTTTTAGCCATCACTATGATAGAAACATGCATTTTTTGAGAGAGAAATTTAGAAAAACTCTACGAGCCTAAATACAAATGCAAAACTGAGTGTGCCTACTTACGTTCAGCTAGTTCAAATGAGCTACCATGCACGATGTAGAAAAAAAATGAAATTGAAAAGCTTAATCGCATTACTGACTAGCATGTAAAGCACAAAGCACAGATGTTTTGATTACAGAAAGGAAATGCACTTTTACACACGGTGGATTGCTAGGATGTGCGAGATAGAGACTTAATGTTATCGATGAGTTATGGAATAAAATTTAAAAGTTAAAAATGATAAATATTCAAATATTTTATCCTAGATAAAACTAAATCAGTAAAATCATGACTGAATCAAACCTACTCTTTTCTAATTCACGGCGATACTGTTTATTTAGTGTAGGTGTAATTTTTCTCAACAGCAGATAGGTAACCTATCTGGTGAATTGGAAAATATCAAGGAAAAATATTCATAATACTCCTCAAAAATCAATTTTCAAGTCTCTTGTTCCTCTTTTTTTGTAGATCTGTTTGTTGTTGTTAAAATTCGTTTTAGTTTTTTTTTTTTTTACTGTTCTCAAAATTTTATTCTAGGCTATAGTTCGGACTCTGTTTTAGATTCTTAATCGGTAATTCTCTTTTGTACGGGCTTTATTGCCCATTTGTGTGAAATAAATATATAAAAATATGAACATTATACTGTTTGGAAAATTTAATACCATTCGAAGGCTAATACAGCACAGCAACGCAGCAGAGTAACGCTAGCATAGAGACAGAGAGAGAGGTTAAGAAAAAGGGGGTCGAGAGAAGACTGAAGATGGTTCACCTAGATTGGGCGCAGATGAACTCCGCTCACCCACCACCACCTCTGACTGCGCATCATGACTGAAGCTGTTGTACATATGAAGCGTTTTACCAAACATGACGCCTTTCCGCATGTGTGGACTCTCGCTCCCAGACTTGCTTTGCCGCGGCAGGCTCCCGTAGTGGTCGTACGGCCTCCGATAACTTGGACTCGACGTCTGCTCAGCACAAAAAAATTAAGTTACTCCCTATTAGAATAACTCAAAAGTTCTATTCCATTAGGAAAAATGCAGGGTATCATCAACAGCGGGCCACATATTGAAATTGATAGACAAAGCTATAGACGAAGAGGACAAAAAGGATATGGGGATCTTATTGGTGGAGGAAGTCGGTTGAAACAGACAAGGGAGGTAGATAATAGACTAACTGACAGCAACCCACAGGAGACCCTACAATTAGTCCATCATTTTCTTCCTTAGTCTACACGAACTACCGATTTCAACCAATAGAATCGCTCCATACTCCCCATAACTTTTTTGTCTATCACTTTGTGTATCAATTTGAATAATCAATCCGCTGAAGGCTGATTATTGAAACTGAAAGACAAAGCGATAGACAACGGGTGGTTTTTACTGATTAAGGGGGAAAATGATGGACAAACCAGAGAGTCGGTTGTGAGTTGCCGTAAGTTAGGTTATGACTTACCTCCTTTGTTCATTGCAACAACCAGCTTCCACAAGTAGGAATGCTCCGTCTTGCCTTTGTTTTCTTTGTCTATCAATTTCTCAGTCTGTCAGTTTATATTCTATTCATTCATTATATTCTATTATATTCTATTCATTATATTATATATATATTTCTATTCTATTAATTTATATTTTTCAATTTTGTTCTTTTCTTTTTGCCTTGAGAATGTTCGAGACAAAATTCCTGACTTTTCTATGCTTTTACCTAATGATTAGGTCAAGTTTATTGATTTAGTTGAGATGCCGATTTGTACTGAACTAACAATCGTTAATAATTTTAAGGAGTTGCTTGTCACTTGCCAAATGTTTAAAAAAATCGAGAGACCAAACCTTTAAAGACTTATTTACCTTCAAAACAAACACACATAAGGAACATTTGTTAATTTCTAAACTTTTTTCAAAAAGAAGGGGGCTAATTTTGTTTTCTGTTGATTTTCTTGGATCTTGGTACCGAACACTAGTCTGAGGCTTTCATAACATGTGTTTTATTCCATTGTATTCACCTGCATGTTGATATGCGAGTTTGGCGGAGGGAACGGAACAAGCCTGGGTGCTATCGGCGGTTTCCGCTGTTTCCTTTCTTCTCGAAGGAATTCTTTCAACTCATTATTCTCCAACTCCAAAAGCGCTATTTGCCGTTTCTGATCCGTGACAACAGACAGCAGCTCTAACTTCTGGGTTTCTAGAGATGACTTTGCCAATAATTCCTGGAGGAAAAAATTTGCCATTAGATAAAGAGTCGCCACAAGAATTCATACAGAAGGGGGTACTTGTTAAGTAAGTGTACATTTTCACTGTACACAGAGATAGAGAAATACTTTTCCTTGAGCATCTTAGAATCAAGGTACAAGTCAGTAGCTTCCCTATGCAGATCAGTGCTTTTTTGAACTCGAGCAGTCGCAACTGTTCAACTGTAAAATTTGTTGGTTTAAGTTTCAATTGAACATTTTTTGCTTGAGAGATATCTATAATGAGATCATTTTTTTGCTAGTATTCAAAATTTTTATTCTCACGACTGGACTACCTTGATGAGAAAATATAAAGTTAAGTAATTCAAGCAAAATTTTGATTCTATTTTTATCTGTTTCATGAAATTCAAGTTGTGTGTGATAAAAGATCCTGGTAACTATTTAATTTGAATATTTAGTATTTGATCTGTAAAAAACTTTAACTGCTGACTTAAAGAATGTTCCATATGTAATAAATCTACATTCAAGGTGTCTACTAAAACAGATTTGCCAACAATCAGTGCTTTTTCAGTAAATTCCTCAGAAACTTAGTACCTCCTAAACAGAAAAATTAAGTAATTTTTCAGTACCTCCATTTGACGAAATTCGAAAATTTGAAAGTCCCGCTCGAATTGCGATAAAAAGTACGTACAATTTCATTAGTGGCTTGCCTGAGATTACCTGAAGATTACCTGACTGCACAATCGTAATATTGCAGGCAAATACTATTCAAACATATGTGTTATGAAGGAAAAAATTCCAGACCGTCTTGCAGAATTTCCGGACGTTTTCAGTACTTCCGGAACACCCTTAAAAAACTAGTACTATTTATTTCTAGACTCTCAGCGGCCTAATTGTTGAAATTTTTTGTTTGTCGGACAACGGATGACATGGACGGAGCGTGACTGGTCGGCTATGTCTTATCGCTGCTTTGTCATGCCTTCGTTAGGTGGAATGGACGACATACTGTCGGAAACTTAAGAGGTGCCATTAGCTTGTCGTGAGTTCAACCCGACATAGGCACGACAAAGCAGTGATAAGACATAGCCGACCAATCATGCTCCGCCTTTTAACCTATATCATCTATGTTGTCAAGACAAACAAAAAATTTCAACAATCAGGCTGCAGGCTGCAGGACCTTGGCATGGATAAACACATTAAACTATGCAGATTACCTTTTGAAGCAGTTCCTTCATTGATTCGAATCGTTCTTTTTGCTCAGCGAGCGATTTCTCGAGATCAGAGATTTTCTCCGACTGAGCGTCGATCTGATCACTGAGGACGACAACTTGTAGTTGCAGGGAGTCTTTGTCGTTTTCCAGTCTTTTGAACTGATCTTCCAACTCCTCTGGAGGCTGGAACAAATGAAACAAACAAACAATGAACAAATCGTCAGGACCGTCACTAAAATGATCCTAAATGATCACTAAATGATTCCTTTGATCGAAATATGTTAGAGATAGCAGGTATATATTTTATTATTAAGAGGATTATTGCCAATAAACTGCATTTAATTTTAGGATTTTTTTTCATTCAATTATTTACCTGATGATTTTCAACAAAACATGTTTTCATCATTAAAAGAAAAAAAAATGTAAAACCAAGTGCTGTTTACTGGCTATTATTTTCTTTTTCCTAAAACCTTCGATTCCTTCAAGAAAAATTCTAGATCTTAACCAATGAATCATTCTGGATGCAAAAAACAAATTAAATCGAAGGATATTCTGACAACTGAAATTTTGAAAAAAATATTCAGTCGCCGACTTAGAGCGAGTATAAAAGTCAAAACAGGTATCAGGATAGTGTGAATTGTAACAGAAAATTTGGACAAAACTGCATTTTTCACAAAAATTTCTTGGCAAAAATAACATACTTAAATTATCGAAGATAATAAAATCTTAAGAAGTGCATTTGATTGAGGAAAAAAAACAAACAAACAAAACACTCGGATAAACTAACAAATTAAAGAGTAAAAAGTCACAGTTAGGAATTCTCATTACTTGGCAAGCATTTAAAAATAAAATATGTAACTCTAATCAGTACCACAAATCAATCTGTTAGTTAAACAGCTTCAAAAATAAGAAATGATTAGTTGAGACACAGGAATAGGAATAAGATTAGTTAACAAGAGTTTTAACCACACATAACACAAAATGCAAATTATGGTTTACACAGTTTCTTCAAGCAGCATTGTTTAATGAACAAAACCATTAAATAACCCTAACTGAATCCAATACAAAAAGTAGAATAATAATTGAATGGGTCATGTTCCACACACAAAATTATTGCTTCCCATCTTCTGAATCTTGAATCTGAAAAGAGCAGTAGTAACCAAACTCCCTTTCAAAATCCAACTGATTCAAGTTCAAACCCTAATTCTGTTTTGGAATTGGAATAAACAAAACAAAACAGAAATATCCAAATTTACAGATAACAGAATTTTCTCTTGGATTCTTCATGGAAAATAATTACATAAAACCACGCATGGTACGGTATAAAGCGACAAATTCCAGATATTTTTGTGGAATTTTCGTAGTATTTTCATACTTTCAGACGACTTAAAAAAATCAGTACTATTTTCGGACTTTTCAGACCCGAAGACACCCTGAATAGCAGAGCGGTCATGCAAACACGAGAAAACCAAACAACGGGAATCTTGGCAAGCTAGCTGCCTCACAGCGAACCTTGGGATAGCGTGGCCGCGTCGCAGCATGCTCCATCTGACAGCAAATCGGGACGGCGCAATGGTGACAGGGGAACATTTGAGCCCGCTGGAAATTAACGTTCAAGTAAGGGTTGCTCCCGTGCCAGCAGCATTCCCCGAGGTCCCCGCTCCCGAAACAGCGTCCTTGGCTCGGCTTGAGCCTCCGCGGGTAGGACGAAGTGGACTTGCAACGCTTGTCCCGTTCCTTGCGGGGCAGCTGACTCCGATCCAGGCTTCCGGTCCCGCGGGGGCGTCGTCGCAGGGTCAGAGGGGTCAGGGTGTCTCTGTCCCTGCTCAGGGTCCGCGATGAGGTCGAGGAGTTGTCTTCCGTTTGCGCCATCCATTGGAAGTCGTTGTCGTTCGAGGCCGAGTCGGATTCTGGCCCAACAGGAACATCAAGAAGATGTCAGTAAATGATACAAATTGGGTAAAAAACCTGTCAATTTGAGTGGTGAACTACGGGGTGGGTACCCACTTGCCCGCTACGCGGGCCAACGCCCAAAGAACGCTTCCTGCCATCTGGGGCCCGCTATGCAGGTCCCCGTGAGTTAATCTGAATACAGTGGGCTCATCTTGAAACTGTCGACTGTCGACTATCACAGTCAATAGCCGAAAAAATTATGAAAATCGGCTCTCTAGAACGCTAGAACGAACAGTGAAAAAAAAAAATCTGAAAATATACGTTCTGTAAATGGGAGAATTTGCAACTTTCCCACGTTTGTATAAAAAAACCTGGGCTACATTTCCAAAATCGGAATAGAGCGGGCTCATTTGGAGACAATGACCTGTACATAGCCGCAAAAATCATGAAAATCGGCCCAGTAGATCGGTGGAACGAACTGTGGCCAGAAATGAAAATTTAGGAGGCCTGAGAGCTTGAAGCACGGACTAGGGGTCTATGTCACCTGGCCGCTACGCGATCCACCCCCAGAGGAAAGAGGAGAAAGAAGAGGACGCAAAAGAGGAAGTAGAAAAAGTCGAGATAAAAGGCTAAGAGATAAGAGACACAAAAAGGAGGAGGAGGCGAAGGAGGAGGAGGAGAAACGGAAATAAAGAGAAGAAGAAAAGTTGCAAGATGTTATGAAACATTCTTCTCACCGATTTATCCAAATTTTGATGCTTTTACTTTGCTTTTTAATTTGAAAAAATCGGTGAGAAAAAGTTATCATACCATCTTGATAAATATGACCCATAAAGTTAATAAAAGAAGTGATAAAAGATACAATGTTCCCAGATTTGAGCCCTTAAATCTCTGCCCGCCTCTATGACCACGGTCAGCCACAAAATTTAGAAAATGAAATTCCCTGACATTTCCGTGATTTTCCTGATCCGTTTTGGGGAAATTCCCTGACAGTTGAAGATCTGACGGATGGCTAAGAGGGCATAATTGAAAATAATTTTCAGGCAAAATTTGTTGTTCGAAACCTCGAACCCACTCTAGTAAACAAATGAAGGTGATTGAAAAAATTTTCCCTGACATTTTCGTCATTTTCCCTAACTTTTTAAAATTCCCTGACATTTCCCGGTTTTCCCTGACTGTGGCATCCCTGTGTGAGGTATGAGAACCGTTTCCGGCGAAACTTACTGTGGGTTGCGGCGCTGGTGCGGTGTCGCGTCTTGAGCCTTTTGAGCGCCGAGGCGGGAGCGGGGGCGGTGTTGCGGAACTCGTCAGGGGACGAGGCGAGATCCAGGCTGGAGCTGGAGGGACTCGAGGACTCCAGGTCCCGGCCCCGACCGGGCTCCTCGGTTCCCGGCTCCGGCTCCGTCGAGAGGGACCTCGACCGGGACCTCTCCACCGAGACCCTCGTCCGGGTCCGCGGCGCCGCCACGCTCGTCTTCTTCCGGGCCGCCCGCTTCTCCAGCGTCTCGATCACGCTCGCCACGCCGGCGCTCGTCTTCACCATTTTGTCGATCTCGGACGCCAAGCCGCTCACCGGCCGCGCATCATGGGAATCGTCGATGGAAATCGTCCGGTTCTTGGTTCCGACGAGTCTATCCAGGTTCCTGTGCCAGTAGGAATCGTCTGGTTCTTGGTTCCGACGAGTATATCCAGGTTCCTGTGCTTGTAGGAATCGTCCGGTTCTTGGTTCCGACGAGTCTATCCAGGTTCCTGTGCCAATAGGAATCGTCCGGTTCTTGGTTTCGATGTGTCTATCCAGGTTCCTGTGCCAATAGGAATCGTCCGGTTCTTGGTTCCGACGAGTCTATCCAGGTTCCTGTGCTAATAGGAATCGTCCGGTTCTTGGTTCCGACGAGTCTATCTAGGTTCCTGTGCTAATAGGAATCGTCCGGTTCTTCGTTTCGACGAGTCTATTCAGGTTCTTCGTTTCGATTGGACACTTCTGGTCTTGCTTTGAATTGAACACGACCACTTCTAGTTTCGGTGGGACATTTCCCGCTCCGCTTGCGTTTAGGTACTCTCGAGGACACTTTAAGCCACGGTCTCACTGGGACACGTCCAGTTCTGGCTACGATTAGTCTTTTTTGGTCCCGATTTGAATTGAATACACCTGGTTCTAGTTTTGGTAGGACACTTCCACATACGCTTGTTTGCGTGCTCTCAAGAATCAACTTTAGGTTACGGTCTCCAGTAGGCACGTCTGGTTCTACTTTTGGTAGGACACTCGTAGCTCCGGTTAATTTTGGGTGCCTTTGACTCAGGGTTCGATGAAATACTTTTAGTTCCGGTTTCGTTTCCCAAAGAGACGTTTCTGGCTCCGATCTCGCGAAAAGCACTCCCGGTTTCGACTTCTGCTCTGAGATGACAGACAGACAAGATGGAGGAAAAAACAGGCTTCGGATTTAATGGAAAGCTTTGGAACCCGGTTCCGATGGAACACTCCAAGTTCCAATTTCACGTTACAAAAATTGACTTGAGTTTCCGGTTTGAATGGGGCACTTCCTATTTTGACTTTGACGGGATACTACCGGTTCTGATCCTGTTAAGAGTGTTTCAAACAATGAAACACTTTCGATTAATGTTTCAACAGAGCGCTTGCGGTTCGGTCTCGTCTAGGCACTTCCAGTTTTGGCCTTGTAGGGGCTCATTCAGTTTTGATTTTTTTAATACACATCTGGTTATGATCTCGCTAGGTTGATAATGAGTTTCTTTAAAAAGGAACACATTCAATTCTAGTTCCAGCTTCAGGTAGACACTTCCAGTTTCGTTCGGATGCTTCCGGTTCTGGTTCTGCTAGAGCAATTTTAGTCCCGATTCATGTAGAACAACTTCAGCTTCCGCTCTGAACACAAGAGGAACTATTGGGCTCCGGTTTCAATTGGAAATTTCCGGATCTGGTTTCGTTGCGGCGCTATGATTTAGGTATCGATAAGGCTCTCTCAGCCTCTCTTCTGATAAGACGCTACTTATCCTGGTCTCGTTGGGTACATGAGATATCGGATCCAAAAGGAAACCCCTGAAACGAAACAGAACTAAACCCGATTTTAAGGAGTCACTTTAGGTTTTGGCTTCAACGAGGCGCTTTCGATTCTGCAATCGTAAAAACACTCGCGAAGCTCGAGTTGTCTACATCACTTCACACAATCACATATCGTTCTCCGATAATCCTAGAATAGAAGAGGCGTTCTTGAGGGAAATATTTTACAAAACCTATGTTGGCTGGAAAGTAAAGGTCATACACGATCTGTCAATTCACTTCGAACATCGCTGAGCCCGTAAAGAAAGGAATTCTGAGCTATAGCCAGAGGAAAATAAGAAGTCACGTTTTGAAATTTTGAGAGTCCTAAAAAATTTCGCGAGTACAGAAATTTGACCCCGCTAAGCTGATTTGATTACTTTTCTTGCAATTTTGATTTATTCGGACGTCGAAGTTAACGAGAGCCGATTATGCAACCCGCATCCACAATGCATCAGAGAAAACAAAAGTCCGGTGATTAGAGTGGAATCAACATTTCTTTCGTTCTCATCAGGATAGCGATCATATTCATCTAAGTGGGCTCCAAGGAGTTCGAGAGTACGAGATCAGCTCTGATGCCAACGGAAAGGTAACACTTTCCCGATAATTTAAAGAAGTCCCGAATAATATGTGCTTGCCAGCGTGAAAAGAGACCTCGGTACACTTCAACTGAAAATGGGGTTATTGATACGGCACCACAGAAGAGTTTTCTACGAACGTTTGGCCACAAAAAAAGCTCAAGAATCGGGGTTATCACGATTGAAGGTTGCAGCTCAAAAAATACTCTCTGGGAAAGGGTTTTTAAAATTCTACGCTAGCGTGTTCAAGACACAATAGTGTGGGATTATAATACAAATTCACACCGTCTAGCTATACAGGCAGAAAAAAATACCGAGACGTTAAGAACTCGTTTTCTCAGGACATTCCTTGATAGAAACGACCGGTAGAACAGGATAAAAATGCCATTGATACGGTTAACTATTCTACTGATCTCTACCGACATCATTAACTAAAGGTAACTGGTTTATTGACACTTAGACACTCTTCTACCGGTCATATTCATCAAGGCTTCAAAGAGTTTTCTGTCGAAATGTCACGTTTCAATACTTAGACGGAACTCGATTCACCCAACTCTACCTCAAAGGTCTAAGGTCCCTTTCCCTGCGGGCGATTACATACGTTGTCCTTGGAAATATCCCGAAGCCTCCGATGGAGCGCAAGGACGCAAACGAAGCACTTCCGGGTCCGGAACTCCGGACCGTCCAGCTCGGAGGGCAACGAACCGCGGCCCCCAAGTTCGGAGCACGACCCGGGATAAAAGCAGAAGGACGAGGGTACGACTGCGACTACGGCAAGCCACCGCGTTCGACTGAGATGCCAGGGATTTCGAACGATGGCTCCTTCGGCTCGCGGTTCTCGCGGGTTAAAATTAGCCGGGCGCTCGACTCGCCGCGCCGGCGGAGGGCGTGTGGCTCCCGGTGCCACATGGCTCGCATCTTTCATTTCGACCGACCGCACCCCCGCCTCACGGGGCGCACGGCCACGACGGAGCGGCGGGTCGATTCCTGCACCGCCATCGAATGACCTTCATCGATACATCCTATTGCTAGGATAGGGATCAATCGATCCAAGTCTTTCGATAACGAGTCAACGACCGACGACTCGCCGGGTGGGATCAAGTGTTAGGATCGGAAGCAATGTAAAGAGTTCTGGAAGACACGAAATGTGCAACAGCCGAGGACTCCAGATATGTACATCAGATAGGGACGTAGTAAAAATTAGGAAAAGCGGAAAGATAAGAAGAAGAATGTGAAGGATTATATGGAAAAGAAAAGGAGACAGAGAGAAAGGAGGACGAACAGGAGAAGGGGGGAGATTATGGAGGAGAGAGACTGGTTGAAGAGGGAAAGGAGGAAGAAAGATGAGGATAAAGAGAAAAGAATAAAATGAAGAACCAAGCGAGGGGGGAGGGGGAAAGAGAGGAAGGTTGAAAAAGAGAGAAACAGAAGAAGACAAAGGAGAAAATCATTAAAAGAGGAAGAGGAAGAAAAACCAGTTATTTTTCTTTGTCCTTTCCTTCCTCCCCCGTCTCCACTTCTCGTTTATCTTTTCCTTCTTCATCCTCCTCCTTTTCTTTTTCAACCTTTCTCTCTTCCCACCGCACCCCTTGCTTGGCTCTTCATTCTATTCTTCTCTCTTTCTCTTCCATCCTCTCCTTTATCCTCATCTTTCTTCCTCCTTTCCCTCTTCAACCAATTTCTATCTTCCATAATTTCCTTCTCCTCCTCCATTCTCCTCTTCTTTCTTCCTCTATTTATCTTCCATCCTCTTCTGCTAATTCCCTTTTCATTCTACTTTATATCACCCTTTTTTTCTTCGTCTTTCAACTTCTACCGTGCTCTAATCTGACGTATGAAAGAAGTCCCAACCCATGTCACATAATATACGTTCTATCAAAAAAAAAGCCCTGCAGATCAATTGGACTACATTTTGCAATTTGGAACTGTAAATTCTAGCCCGATTTAAATACAACGTATGTGCCATTAGTTCCCCTATGCACATAAGTGTTTTTCCAGAAGAGCCAGAATTTATGGTTCCAAATTGCAAAATGCAGTCCAATTGTTGATCTGATATAGTTACGAAGAAATTTGAATTTCTGGCGTACATAAAAAACTAGTGATTTATTCATGATGTGCCATTCTTCAAATTGGCAGAGATATAGGTAGGCTAAGGCACTTGAACACAGTTAACAACATTATTAAAAAGTACCTAAATAAGAAATCAACAGCTCAAACCCGAAATAACCAGCCTACAGATGATGAAAAATATATAACACTAACTTACTTCAACGAGTATACTAATAAAATCGCTCAGGTAATAAAAAAGCATAGATTCATTACAACACTTAAAACCTACACCAACCTTCAGCATAAGCTGAATCACAAAACTAACAAAGAGAGAGACCTTTACAACACATCTGGTGTTTACAGAATCAAATGTGAAGAATGTAATACCAAATATATTGGTAGAACACAACCCTATTTCCATCAGAGGTTTGCAGAGCACATCAAAAATGATACATCAATGGTCCATAGGTTACTTTCAGTAATTTTCGTTGTACAAATCGTATTCTACATGAAATTTAGATGAAAAGACATCCATCATCAGGCTTAAATAAGGGGCTTGGAGGACAAGGCACAAAAATGCAGTTTTTTTAAAAATTGAGATATTAATGATTTTAAGTAAAACTTGTCTTAACGCATTTTCTGTAAAAAATTCACTCTTGAATTCCAATTTTTAAGCAGCAAAAAGTCAGTTTGAACTTTTTTTCTGCCATAAGGATCCATGTAATTTCGAAGCTTCAAACACGCATTTCTCAAGGAGCAAAAACTACACTTATGCTCCTCATCCTTCAAGCTCCTCAAATTTACATGCAGTGTGGTGGTTGAATGTAGAATATGAAGGATAAAATTAAACATATTGAAATCCTATGTTGTCACAGTGTTCCGAAGGGTCAATGTGACAGCAAAAATTTGACAAGCCTGGAAAGCTCTGTCTAAGTCTTGTCTCAAGATGAAAGAGCCTTATGCAAAAACGGCCAAATCCCCCGTAGCTCCGATTGCTTCCATTTTTTAGTATGCTGTTTTACCATAACAAAGGGCCCCGTTTCTGATAATTTCAAGTCCAAAAAAAATTTTCCCGCGCTTTGGCGGCGTTGCCAAGTTGCAACCTTAAAAATTCGATAACTTTTGAACCAGTTGAATGATTGATCTGCGGTTTGCGCTAAAATTCTTTAAAAATTATGAACTTTTGTTTTATGTATGATTTTTGGATGAAACGTAACATTAAACTTATGATTCTCCTCTTTTTTTGGATTTTTGATCCGTCGAATTTTACATGTTCGTAAATACCCAAAAAAGCCATTTTTTGATTTTAAAAAAAATATGTCCAATCAATTTCTCGTCTGATTCCACATCTATCGATATGTCATACTTGGCGGGGAGACGATTGGTATAGAAGTTATGACCCTTTTTATACGCGGGTTTCGACGCGCCGTACCCATTACGCACCGTTACATAGCCGTCCTGGGCTCCTCGCCGCGTGGCCTAGCGACTGGTTCATCGACTTTATGCAACTTTTTAGTTTTAACTGACTTACTCAAGAGATAATTTGTAATAATAAAGTTTATGTGCCCTGTGATTTGTTGTTCTAACCCATAGTTAATAGCCAGTTCTAAGTGTCAGAGACCATCCAGGCAAACGAATAATTTAGAATAAGTAGAAAATGGAATGTTGATTTCAGCCAAGTGTTTTGTGGTTGACAAGAGTTTAAAGACGATTAGGTATTTCCAATGTTTGAAATTCAAACAAAATGATATAAAATAATCTTACAAAAAAAAGTGAAATGTAGGAGAAAGTACCTCAAGATTAAGCTAATTAAAACAAGTGAAAATAAAACTATGCTAGTTTTTTTAATATGATTTAAAAATGGTAAGGAATTTAAAGTAAACGTCACCTATTGGGATGAATTCCCACATTCGTCGTCAGAATCATCCTTGGATGTGTCCTCTAAGCGAGGTTTGATCTGGTGATAGTGCCAATTCAAATATTCTGCCAGTGCCTTGAATCCTGCATAACGGCTGAAACCTAGGTACCATATGATGACGATCGCGTGTTCACGGTGCCCAATTTTTCTGGCTACATTCATGCACGTACCTACATAGCAGGTGGCCACCGATGACATTGTTCGTTTATTAAGATCAATTAATATAAACACATTGTAGATCTTTAGCGATTTGTGTCTTGTCAATAACCTGCATTTCAAAAAAACTGGATCAACAACATGTATTGCATGATCCAAAAAGTTTGGTTGGTAGCTGTCCTTGCTTTGAAATTAATATTTGCTGCAAGCAAAAATATCTGCTGTGTAAGATCTTGCGAGATGTAAGTGGTATGATCCACAAAATTGTTTAATATCTTCCGCAGTCCACAGCTGAAGTTGCTGAAAGTTGGTCTCCTCCAATCTTCTACAGTTTTTACTTTTTCGAATTAGGCCCTCAGTTTCCACGATTTTTTGTATCAGATTTGGCTCGTTAATTTTTGCCATGCCACATGTCCAATGCCACAGTTGCACTGTCCTCGTTACTGTAATTCCTACGAAAATAAGCGTTGTGTATGGCGGCTGTTACTCGTAGATCCGTAAACAAAGATTTTCTTGTAAGATTATTTTATATCATTTTGTTTGAATTTCAAACATTGGAAATAATCGTCTTTAAACTCTTGTCAACCATAAAACACTTGGCTGAAATCAACATTCCATTTTCTACTTATTCTAAATTATTCGATTGCCTGGATGGTCTCTGACACTTAGAACTGGCTATTAACTATGGGTTAGAACAACAAATCACAGGGCACATAAACTTTATTATTACAAATTATCTCTTGAGTAAGTCAGTTAAAACTAAAAAGTTGCATAAAGTCGATGAACCAGTCGCTAGGCCACGCGGCGAGGAGCCCAGGACGGCTATGTAACGGTGCGTAATGGGTACGGCGCGTCGAAACCCGCGTATAAAAATGGTCATAACTTCTATACCAATCGTCTCCCCGCCAAGTATGACATATCGATAGATGTGGAATCAGACGAGAAATTGATTGGACATATTTTTTTTAAAATCAAAAAATGGCTTTTTTGGGTATTTACGAACATGTAAAATTCGACGGATCAAAAATCCAAAAAAAGAGGTGAATCATAAGTTTAATGTTACGTTTCATCCAAAAATCATACATAAAACAAAAGTTCATAATTTTTAAAGAATTTTAGCGCAAACCGCAGATCAATCATT